TTGTCATTAATGCCCAGGATGGTCTTGTTATCTGTGAAAGTGAATATAATAATATTGTGGTCTAGTATGGATGTGCAGTCATGAATATACAGTAAGGACAGTTTTGGACTCAGCAGCCTTGGTGGGTGGGCGGAGGGGGTTTATGTGCTCAGCTGACATCCTGTTCATTAGACACTCTAGCATCCAGTTACAAGTGGGTGTGAGCAACCCCATTCTGCCTGTCTCACAGTAAGCTGTTTGTTTTTTTAAGTGTTCAAATATTGCACGGCAGAGTAGAGGCCAAGGAATACTGCGTCGTTCACTGACCTGTTCACCAGCCAGGTATGCAAACTACCAGGGGTCTGTGGTTTTTGGGATGGTAGTATATACAATAGATCAACTTTTCCAGGCGACTTACAGCCTGTGATGTGATTGCCACTGGGTGGAAGCCACTCGCGCAGGTTTTATTCAGCTGTCCGTTGCCTGTGCCAGTGACAGAGAGATCAAAGTGGTATGAACAGCCTGAATAAGCAAGTTGTTTCTGTGTAGACTCCAGCTCCAGTCTTTCACCTTTGTTGTCCTGCAGGTGCAATGTCAGTGCTAGGGCAGTTTTCCTCAGGCGCAAGTTTTTTTTTTTTTTTTTACATGCGGGCACCAAATAGACTTGTTTGCACCAGTATCGGAGGAGAGGCTCAGCTGAGACAGTGTTTATGCTGATTAGGCGGTGCAGTTTTGTTTATTTTGTCATGTAATTGTGTGTGCGTTAAAACCTATTCAGACAACCTTTATCACAAATGCAGACGGGACAGTTTTTGTGGCTTTTCTTGGCAAAGGAGGAGAACACATACATGCCTCTTTAGAAAAAAAAAACACCTCTCAGCTGTCCTCTTTCATTTGCTGCACTTTGTTTCATCTTCTGCAGATTGATATGCATCAAAACACATCTTTTAATGAGACTCTGAAACATTACCGTCTCCAGCATGTTGTCCTTGAGTGGGTGACTCAGAGTTCTGTAGAAATGTCCAGAGGCTACTTCTGTTGTGTGACAAGTGAGAAGCTTTTAGAATGTCAGCTCTTTTCTGTGTAAACAGTTGTAATCATCACAAAACAGCAGAAATAATGTGGTTGCTTCACCTACATTTGTGAGAGGGGCTGTGTGTATTTTTCACATTGATGAGTACAGCAGCTTTGACTTTATTAATTATTTAAATATCAGGATCTATCAGTAAATCATGTTCTGTTTTTACTCAACATCAGACCAATGAACCTTTACACACAGGTTCTAAGTTTAATAGTAAAGTCATCTGGATTTACGCAGCTATTATCACAGAACTAGCTCAGTGACACAGATCAGATGGGCACTCACACTCTTCCATTCATATTTCATCTTTGTTGTTTTCTTTATGTGCATTATACTAGCTGTGTGCAGCCTCTAGCCACTAGCCTCACAACACACTAGGACATTTATCTGATTTCCTGCAGCTCCCTCTGGAGGCACAAAGGCTTTATAAAACCATTTCACATTTGCAAGAGTAATCCCTAACACAAACAGGCTTATCACTTAATATGAGCAATTTTTCTGTCAAATTTATTTTTCACTCGGGATGTGGAAGCTAGCAAGCTAGGCTAACTGGCCAGGTGTTGGTGAAGTCAGTTATTGTGTCCCAGTTTCACACACACAGGCTACCATTTATATACAAGTAGAGCTACAAATCATTGTAGCACATTTTTTGCAGATACAGCCATATTATGCTGAAATAATTACACTGAAATATAATTGGGAACAACAGCTTATATCTTCTTATTTGTCTTGTGTTACAAATCTACACTTTTTACCAGATGCCATCCTGCTTTTGTTGCATAACACTCTCAAAATCAGTCAGGAAAGCTGTAGCTAAAACCTCCAACAAAGACAAACGGAAACAATTTCCTTTTCACATCATTTGTTTTCAAACCCCGCCTTGGACATTTAACACAAGGTTGCTGGAGAACACACACTGCAGACTGAGACAGGAGTAATAATAAGTAATAATGTTGTGTGTAATGCAATGTTTTCAGCGCATCTCTATTCTTATTTTTGTGTTTTGTGAGTTTGGCCATTGCTGATTTTTTTCCTCATCAGGTGAAGGTCAGTTTAAGTCAATAGGCAAGAGAGCATGGGACAGGTTAATGCAGTTACTACTTAGCAAATTTTTTCTCTTATCTTTTAAAGTTTACAACCTTTTGTAATGATGTTTGTGTTGTGTCTAATGATAGCATTTTAACATTGGCTCACATTTAACTAACTTTAAACATTAGTTAGCTAATGGGACAGCCAGAAGGCATGAAAAATTGAATGGAAAAGGTAAAACTGGATACGGTTTTGTATTAAAACCCATACCACTTGGGTTTACAATGTAGTCGTAGTCCTGAAGGCTAACATTAGCTGGTATATTATTTATTTAGCTAAAATAGAGTGCCATAAGGATGATGTATTTTTGTAGGCCAACCCAGATGTTGGCATCACCCTGGTTCTCTCAACAAAAAACAAACAATTTTTCATAGGTTTTTGGATTATTAACTCTGACAGACAACAGTTTATGACACCTAAATGTTTTGTTCAGCAAGATCATCTTCACAAGTGAACACCGCTTTTATGATGTCAGAAGTTAGTTTATTAACAAACTACACCATGGTCCCATGACTTCAGCGTCACCGCCATGGCTTCCAACTTGTAATTTGATTTAGCGTTCTTACGTGTACAAAATCTTTTCCTTTTAGCGTGACCTGATCTAGCTAGTGATCATGGCTGTATCAGTTAATTTAGTTTAAGTGGGCAAGTATAAACATAACAAGGCTGTAAAGGTGAACTAATGAGTCGAGGATGATGTAAAATCCCAGCCTCTGTAGTCTCATTTAGCCACTTGTTATTAACTGCCTATTTTAAGACATGTAAAAGCATTAAAAATCAAGAGTGGGGTATTTACTAATACATTTTATGTCGAAGAACTAAATGTAAAAATGTATTGACCTTGCTAACTACAGACCTGATTTCAGGCATCTAACCAAAAACCCATTTAAAATATTGACTTCAGGGTGAAGGAACCGGAGGTGCAAAAATGCTAAGTGAGTTCCATGTTTTAGGACTCATGACTATGGCCCTTATTACTGACTGTTTCTTTCACACTTACAATAACACGCTAGAAGAAATTTAGCCAGCTTTTGGATTCGGTCCTTGGCTGTTCCCTAACCAACAATATTATATTTAATGCCATATAAATCCTGTGTGAACAAGTTAAATTGTGTTAAATATGTTTCTGAGAAAAAAAGAGGCGGTTGGAGGAAGTGATCCTGCTTTTTTCTGCAGCTGGAACATCTTGAATAGATGCTGTGTCAGCAGCTTGGCTATGAGTGCATACTGGTTGTGTGTGTAAAGCCATGTCATTAGGGTTGGTAGTGAGGGGTTGCAGATGTCATGGATGCAAAGGAAAAATGTTTAAATACTTACAAGATATCCCTCTGTGTCTGCATTCATTTGGAGGAGGCAGGACTAGCTGTAAACTTAATAAGCGCTGGTTTTGATATCATTACAAAATACATAGTTGTGAGATAGTTTGTCATTCATCATTTCATGTTCTGAAAAGTGCATATGTCATTTTATCCTCAGCTCACACACACAATTCTGTCAAATTCCAATTCAGATCAGCTGTATAACATCAGTTCTAGTCAGATTCTTACATGAAAATCGCTTGTTGCATCAGTGTGTGAGGGTTTGTGTCGATACTGTTTATGGCTGAATCAAAAGGTTTGTAGCAGGTTTTTGTTATTCAATCAATGTCTGTCACCGTGTTGAAGATGTAGTTAGTGGAGTGTTTAAAGGCTTTCTACAACCGTCACATAGAAGCTACTGTATGGCTTTCTCTAATCACCTTTTGGTCAGTTCCTGTTGGAGTATGTATAGCATGTATGTATAGAAGTATAAGCTACTATGTATAACAGGGTAACAGGGTCGTATGCTAATACGTATCCTCATTAATGGATTGCTTAGCAACAGCAAATGGTTGCCTAGCAACAACATTACCAGCTAGCAAATTGGGTGTATTCAGAAGTCCACTGTAGAAAAACAAGTTGAGAGGGATGTGGAGGGTGTGTGCATGGAGTGATGTGGAGGGTGTGTGCATGGAGTGATGTGGAGGGTGTGTGTATGAGTATTAAGTCAGACAAATGAGATATTCTGCAGAGTCAGCAATTTAACAGCAGAGACCCTCAAAGTGTGTATTTAAAACAAATATTACACGCACTCAAATAGACTGTTTGTTTGTTTCTGTAAGGAGCAGAGGTTTCTGTCATCCTAGTAGGATGTGGGCTGGATGTGGATGTGGAGTCGATCATTTCTGCTTGTAGCGATCAGCTTGACCCAGTCAACCTGAACAACATTTGAAGTCTTTTATAGTGGCACTGGGGAGCGAGGACAAAGGAGGCTGCCTGGAGGAGTTATAATAGAGGATATACCAGTGTGTCCTTTGCATAAGTCTGTTATGGATTGACACGCCCCTTTATTAGAAATCAGTTTGTGATTGGACGCTTCACATGAGGGACTGAAGGAAAGGATGTCTCTTGTCAGTTATAATGTGTTTCCTCGGTTCCTCTCTTCTCGCAGGACTAAGACACAAAAAGACACAACTGAGGGAAGATGTGGATACAATTAGGTGAATTGGGATTCACCTCTAATATCTGGCAGAGAATGTTGCATTGTGGGTAATGAAAGTGCCAGATTTTGACAAGGAAGATGAAGAATAAAAAGAACAGAATAAACTAGGGCATTACTGTAAATATTAGTTAAATCAACAAGACCAAAAACATAGCACTTTAAGGAGAAGATTGAGGTGGTAAAGGAAGCTACAACAACCAACAGCTTCATCGGTAATAATGAGAAGTGTCAGTAGATAATGGTCATGCTGCACACCTGCATGAATATGAGAGGACATTACTAGGGATTTATAAATTCTACTAGTTCACTGAATCTGTCTTTCTCTCCTCAGGGGGCTGCTGACAGGAAGTCTGTGTGTGACCTGTCGTGAGCAGTCATGTTCCGTAACAGCCTGAAGATGCTGCTGGGAGGCAAAAGCCGCAAGAACAACAGCGGTCAGTAGCTATATGTCATTATGTGTCATTGTACCCTATCTTGTGTTAATCTCATGAGGTGTGCTTCTAGTCTGGTGTAAATTATCTCTGTGTTGGTGTCTAGGTGGCAGATACAGTATGTTGTTGTGGTGGTTTCCATGAGTTCACTCTAAGGCTCCAAACAAATTACTAATTTAATAGTTGAACAATCTATTGATTACAGAAACGAATACTAGACTATTCAGATTATACATTAAATTGCACAATTACTTAGTGACTCTTTTAAGATATCAGCTTTAAGTTTGTAAAGTTAGTGCACATTTGGTATGTGAACAGGATCCTTGTGAATAATAGGTAATTATTTACGACACTCATAACTAGCTAGCCAATTAACTTACCGAGATGAGTCTGCATCGTCCAGAGAGCCAGTATGACTCCTCTTCACATTCTCCAGCATAACTGATGTTTTCCCATGATAGTCAGGTCTGCTTTGCAAATGTTGCAGTTCACAACGCCAAGCTAGGAGTTAAATGCTCCCATACCTTGGATTTTTTTAGTTTACTAAAAGGCAAAAGGTGTTGCCATTACACGGTAATGCCTCAAGCCCCAAGGATCAGAGCTGGAATGTGAAGCAATTTTGTCTAGAAAACCCCTAGGATTATTTTATTTTATCCCGTTCATGTGTGTGTGGAGCTGAGAACAGCCGAGACGCTCAAATCAGCTGGAGAAGGACACTAGACAACCACGTGCAATGGCATCACCAACTAATAAACAATTCAATTTGTTGGCAACTGGTTTGGGTGGTGATTTTAGTCGACTACTGTATGTTGATTATTCATTGTGACTCCTCTCTTTTTCAACAGGTGGCAGTGGCATTGAGTCAGAGGGATCAGAGTTCAGCATGATTGAGGGATTCACTCGTTCACTTCCCTCCTCGCCCCTCCTCAACCTTCGGCTGGCCAAAAGATCTGGTAGGGTTTATCTATCTGGTTTACCATGGCTGATTTTGATGGTGTATTATTGTATTTCTTTAATATATACGTGGTTATTAGTTTGTTCTTGTCTCAGCCAAGTCTACATTAAAGCTAAAAACACGTTCATTACTGTACCTCCATCCTAATCGTTTGTCCATTTCCATGTCAGCTACAGATCTGGTTAGACACTGCCCTGTGTTTTCATTGGCTAAACAAAATGGTGATGAGCTATCTACAAAATGCACTCATATAAGTGCCAGATTTGTGAATACAGTAAAAATATAGGCACAGTTTTTAGGAGGAGAGAGTATCACCCAGACATAACATGACAGCTTTCTCTTGTTATAATCACTTTCATAATAAATTAAAATATTTACATAAAGACATGAAATTTGACAGAAAGATAGTTTAATATGTGTAAATAACAACCAATCACCCCTTGGTGGTAATCATGTAAAAAAACTCCACGCAAAAAAAAACAAAAAAAAAACAGTGCATCGACTGCATAAGTCCGTGCTAGGATCAAATTAGTTCACACAGTTCCGCTACACACTCCAGGATAGCTCCTTGTAGTTGTAGAAGAGACACATATCCAGCTGCAACATAGGAACTCACATAATGTCTCTCTCAAAGTGACTGTTATCACCACTGGGTTTCTGTTTTTTGCAGTAGCTGCTCATGGCTGGTTAGTTCTGACTACTAACACCCAGCCACACACATCTCTATCCCAACGTGTTCTCATTCCCAGGGAGTCAACTAGTGATGGTTTGTCAAGTACCGTCTCATACCGGTGCTAAACAGTGCCTTCGGCGTCCATATAAGATGTTCAGGGTTTTCATTATGGAACAGTATTAACCCACTTGCAACAGTACACAAAATAACTTGGTTAAGTTTAGAGAAGGGACCGTGGGTTGGGTTAAAACAGTCCCCAATTGAAAATCACAGTATCACAAACCAGAGTTAAACTCTCATGTACTGTGGGAAAGTATGATGTTTAACCAATCTATCCATCCCAGCCACATCCTTTTTCACCGTTTTTTACTTGTAAACCTTGTGCATCTCCCACAGACGCCAAGGGCGCACTTGAGCATCTTTATGCAACACAGAAGTTAACCATACACATCACATCACAAAGGTACCTGACAAAATGTCAGTATTTGACACCCTGAGAATCAAATCTGGCTCACTATCCCCACTAGCTTGTACTATAGATGACAGTTGTGGAAACTGTCTGATCAGCAGGCTTCCTATCAGTCTGTATAATCTCTTGCTTACATTTGTTATTTCTTTGTTAAGAGTCAGTGTGATCACAGACCAGAGCTAAAAGGCAGCAATGTGTAATATTTTCACTTGGCTCAGAAACATTTAACCAAACTGAAATGAAAGTGCCCTGAATTACAAGGATACATTTCCTGACAAAATGTGTTCATAGCCTCTCTTTATTTTTTATTTGAAAAAAGATCTTAAAGCATCATTTTACTGTCTGTGCATCGTATGAAAAAAATTGACCTGCGGAGTCTTTGGCGTTAAGTCGGCACTGTGGGGTCATAATTTTATGGGCTAGTCATGGCATAAGCCATACAGGAATATTCCCCCCAGTGAAGTCTAGATTCTGATTGAAAGGGATGAGTGAATCAATGAGAAACCATAAACAGCATTAGAACAGTTTCTCCTTTCCTCTCCTCTCACAGACACACACAGCTGTGACCTTTTACACTGTGTCTAGCAGCAGAGGGGAGGGGGGTTGACCTGTGACCCTACATTTGATTGTCCCTATGTGCCTTAGTGAGAGAGAAAACAGAAAAGTAACCCAACCCCCCCTGGCAACCTCTCCTGTCCTCTCCTTTCATCTCTTCTCCTCCTGCTCCTCCTCCTCAGGGTTGCTTTGACACAATTCTCCTAAACATTACCATGTGGAGTCTCTCTCCAACTCTCTTTCTGTGTCTCTTTATCACTCGCTCTCTGTCAAAACAGAAACATTATCCTGAGCCAGGGAAACTTCTTAAAGTCAGTGCACTATATCCACATTCATCTATTTTAATAAAGACACTTACTGGTAAAGTTTTTTTTCTTATTAAACTAAAAATGAGACGAAACTTAAAGCCAGTTGTGGTGTAGAAAAATACCATCTAAAGTAAAAGAAATGCCAATGTAAAGTAACTAGCTTCTCAGCTTTTAATGTAAGGTTACAGTTCCTTGAAATCTCATTTTTAAACCCTTAAAGAGCCCATGTCATGCTTTTCCTTGTTTTCTAACTTATCTACAATGTTACAGTGGTGAATTATTATCTTAGACATGACCTAAAGCTCAAACAATGAGGTGTACGTGTGTTCTAGTATTTCTATGCAGAAGCAACTCTGTTTATACACATCTCGCAAGCTGCGCGTTCATGTGAGCTTGCCTGACATCCACTGGTTCCATTGTAAAAGCTGAATTTTTCTACTGCACGCAGTTGTGTGGATATACTGTATTTTACCTCCTGCTGCTTCACTGTGACCAGAAGACGTGGCCTGAGGTTACTGCATGTCCAGGAATGTTTCGGTACATGGACCCGCTGCTTTACCTGACCAGGTCTAACCTATGATCAGCCAGCCAGTGAAGCACTCTGGGGCAGTGATGATCAGCTCATCAATGCTGGATTCTCCTGGAGTACAGTACCTGTTTGTTTTGACTGCTTGAGGCCAGTGTGTGTGTCCATGTGATGTGATCTGGGTTAATGAGAGGATTCTAATGAATTTGGATGTTATTGTTGGTGCTACGCTACCTGTTGGAATTAATTTTACTACTTTGAGACTGTATGTGGTCGTGTGGGGGAACCAACCACCAGTTGGATTTACCGACCTTGGAGCTACTTTAAAGGGAGTGATATTTCCACTGCTCGGTGGGACTTAACAGTAAGTTTGAAAAAAACACACATGTTGCATGTCTGTTAGTGTTATGTTTCTGTAGGGAATTGTTGTAAGGCTGGAGAAGTTGCTGTGTCTGCATTATGCCAGTTAAAATATGGGTCTCTCAACTAAACGCTTTGTTTAGAGTGTTATACATCTCTTGTCATGAGTACCTATACCATTGTTTACCTCTCTATGGAAGAGAAATTCAAATTAATTAATGCTGTTGTTGTTTGTTGTGCTGTTCACTTTCTACATAACACCAGCAGCAGGAGGTGTGCACGTTCACAAACTGTCCTCTCATTTTTAGGAAGAGGCTTTCTGGTTGGAATTATGAGGGGTGCAAAGCTAATCTAGACGCACCCAAGATTAAACATTAAATGGCTGGAAATTAACATGACATGGGCTCTGTAATAGATTTTTTTTTTCAGGCCACCTGGTGGCAACCAGCTGTAGTCACAGCACAAACATATAATCTGTTGAATTCAGAAGGTGACTTGTTGGCCATCAGTTGCTTAATTGCACATCAAGCAGTTACAGAGGATTAGTGTTCATAGCCTACTTCTGACCACAAGGTGAATGTAATTCAACTGTAAGTTCACTGTCTTTTAGCTAGCTGTCCGGACAACAGATTCACTGTATTGGTTCACTGTCCTCACTCTTTTCAACCATAGACAGCTGTTTTCAGCAAAAAAAAAAGCTGTATACTACCAGCTTAACCTAAACAGCAACCAAACGTATGTGCTTTTTTTTTTCTCTATGTTTTTATATTTGTGGACTTAAGTGGATTGCAGTCTTCTGTTTTCACAGTGATTTGTGTCTTCTGTTCTTAGAAAATAAGTTTTTACTTTAACTGAAGCATTTCTTTGCTCTGTCAACCTTTAGATGAGTCTTATTGGAGCCTTTCTATTTCTGGCCGTGTTTGTCTTGTGTTACAAGATAGAAGACTGAACAGTCTTTCTGAACTTTCCTCTCACTTCTCAACATGCAGTCATTCTGTTCAGTTCCTCCTGCAGTCCTTCCCATTCCCCCCCGTGTGTATGTGTTTTTTTTATGGGGGTTGGAGCAGAGGAGGTTTTGATTTGCTGTGCAGTCAGACGAAGGAGCTCGCCTTTCAGACCAGATATGGAGGCTCTGCTGTTGAAAGAAAAACTCTTCAAACACTTGGAAAATTGACTTAATGTGTTTCTTACCAAAGAAGACATCAACTACGGGAAGATTTACTCTTTTCACTTCATGCTTGGGTTGTTGTTTACTTTCTTTGCTTAGTTTTGAGGAGGTTCTACCTGTGAATGAAAAAGAGCATATTTTGGCTAAAAAGAACAATAACCAGTGGAATATATTGTCCAGATGTGGTGTGTGCATTGTGGTAAAGTTTAAAAGCATGCAGATTCCAGTTTTACCATTAGAAGTAACTAAGTGCCTTTACTGAACATATGGTTAATACCACAGTGTTTACATGTTTTACTATCCTGCTTGTTGGCTGCAGTCATTCTGCTTCAGAAGTACCGTACAGTTTTTTTCCTTTTGCTGTAGAGTCTCTTCCGCCACTTATCTCTTCATTCCTACCTCCTCCACCTTCCTCTCCCTCTCTCTTTTGTGTACTCTGGAGAAAGAGGAGTTCAGGACCAACGAGAAGAGGACTGGGCAGTGATGTCATCATGTGTATTTCGGTTTTTACCATCAAAGCTTAATGGAGAGTACAAACAGCATGACAGCAATTGGCTCAGGTCTCTGAACCCTTAGAACCCTTCTGCCAGATAGCTATGGACTGCACGGCAGCTATTTTGAGATCATGTGCCCGCTCAAGAGCCAAGTGGCGTCGGCACGAGTGGTCTTCCATCCGTCGTCCATGGAGATTGCCACATGGCCGCAGTTGCGGCGGAGATGTCATGGCGGCCGGTGTGGTCAGCCACGCCTCCTCTCTCCTGCAACGCTTGCTGTTTTATGTCTGCTGTTGTTTGTCCCATGAGGAGAGCTCTGAGCTGTGTCAGGATTGGGTGGATCACCCCACTGATGAATCCCAGAGAAGAGGAAGACACAAAATAGAGGAGGAAGGTGAGAGCGAAAGACTCTCTGTCATGATATTTCTGCAAACAGACAGGGTAA